TTACTCGCCCTTTCATTACTATCTTTAATTGAATTTTTTTTTTGTCGAACCATCTTTAATTGGATTGATTGTGATTCTTTTATATTATTTTTCTGAGTTGTGATTTGCTTTCCATAGTTGAGTGGTTAGGTTTCATTCTAGGATCATAATAAACATAAAAACATCAAGTGGACGACTAGCGGACGAGAATCTTAGGATTCACAATTTGGTGGACACCTTATTTAACAAATAATCAAGTTTAGGTACTGAAAGGGCACTAGTTAGATATCTAGTGTAATCAAGTCCTCGACTCTAAATCTCTGGATGTATAGGAACTGAGGGCTTCTCTTCCACTAATTTAGATAACTAGTACTCCTCTCCCGGGGCTTCTCCTCCATTAATTTGCTTTGAACCAGCATGAATTTTGTTTCCGAGGGCAATTAATGAAAATCCAAACGAACAATGGCAATTTGACCCCAAAAATGTCAATAGCAAGATAGACTTTTCTTCAAATATAATTTTTTGGTCTATTAATTCTACAAATGAACACCAAATGAACAGTAGCAATTTGACCCCAAAAACATCCACAACAAGATACCTTTACCTGACATATGTATTTTTTCCAGTCCGTTAATTTCTATAAATCAAGTGATTGGAATGCTATACTTTTGGTTCCAATACTTGGCATTCTTTGTCTAATCCTGTTCTCATTTTAGTCCCTAAATGAGTATTTTACTACTATTTTCGTCCCTTTGATGGCATCCCTACATACTGTTTTGGTTCCTATACCGGGATGAAAATGGTCTTAAGATACTTGTTTAAGGACAAAAATAGGGAAAGTGAAAGTACAGGGACCAAAATGAAGAACACTAGAAGTACTTAGACTGAAATTATAATTTTTCTTTTAGTGATACCAGTATTCTAATTTTTGAGGTCCAGTTTATTCATGAGACAATCTTTTGGTTGTTTTAGTGCTATTGTATTGTTTTAGTTCCTACTAGAGAAAAATCCACTCTCCCTATGAGCGTGTTTCCTATAGTGGCAATGTTGTCCCCAAAAATATCAACAACAAGGTAGACTTCTCTCATAGAAAGCAATAGCATGCGTGCACATGCATACATGCACAAATAAAATCTACATGTATTTATGTTTCTAGAATACCTTTTTCAACAAATCAATCCGCCAAAGGCAGCTCATACAAAATGAATTCCACTGATTGCAACAAGCCCGTCTTTTTTGTTGGATAAGTACACAGAGTACAAAGGGAGTATACATAAAAAAAGGTAACAGCAGAAAGAAACTCAAAAGGCCTAACCAAACTTAAAAGCAACCTCTATCACGGAGTAGTCGTCACTGCACAGACTGGTGTTAAATTGCTTGTGATATTTTCATTAGGTTACAACTTCATTGCAACTAAAGTCGAGTATTGATTTGAAGTTGATCAAGTTGGAGTCCATTGCAATTGGAGTTGAGTGCTGATCTGAAGTTGATCGACTTTCAATGCCGGACTAGTATAGGGAAGCTCTCAATGGTTGGAAACTGTTGATCGTATTTTTTTAATTTCTTAATCAAAGAAAGGGTTACCAGAATACATATATATATATATATATAGGTAACCCTCTCAATATAAAATAACTATTGACTGTTATACCCCTATTATTATTTCCTAACGCTCCTCCTCAAGTTGGGATGTAGATATCAAACAATCCCAACTTGTAACATAAAAAATTCACTCTATTCTCCCGTAACGACTTAGTAAAAATATCTGCAAGTTAATCCTCCGTCCTTGCATGTTGAAGAGTGATCTCCCCTTTTTGAACCTTTTCTCGTATAAAGTGACAATTAACCTCAATATGCTTGGTTCACTCACGGAATACAAGATTATTTGCAATATGAATAGCTGATTGATTATCACAATATAATATCGATTGTTCTAATGTTGACATCCCAATTTCTGACAATAACATCCTCAACCAGAGCAATTCACTTGTCACATGTGACATTGCTCTATATTCTGCTTCAGCATTTGATCGAGAAATCACATATTGTTTCTTACTTTTCCAAGCAACTAAATTGCCTCCAAGCGAGGGAGGATTTGGTCCCTGTCGCAAATAACAGCTTTCGCCACGTGGCTGTTTTTCCTTCTCGCTCTCTGTGTGTGTATCTGGACTCAACGAGAGAGTTGCGGAGGACCTTCAACGACCCAAAAAAGGATGGTGTTGCCCTTATTCAATTCAATCAAAAATAGGAGGGCTTCTGCCTCGGACCATCGCATACAAAAGAAAACCCCACTTCTTTCTCTCCAGACAGCAACGTTGGTTTTTTCGTTTAATCCCTTTTCTCTTTCAAGTTTTCTCCATTTGGTGTTTTCAGTTCTATTTGTTGTTTTTAGTTGTCATAATATACATATTGATCAAGTTGAGTCTGGTTTAGCAGTTTTGATTTTTTGGATACCAAAACAATGGAAAGAGATTACTAGAACGCCTCGGAGAATTGTGCACTCCAATTAGCTTCTTTAAAGTTACAACAGATTGAAAGAATCCTGAAATTGGCTGAAGAACACAAGATATTCGCTTTATATTTGTTCAAAATACATATATTGTCATATTATTATTTTTTGACACTCATGATGCTGCAGAGGCAAAAGGAGGAACTCTACTGCCCAATAATTCAAATGGAAAAGCAGTTTTATGAAAAACATATCCTGAAATTGGAAATTGAACGATTGGGGGGATTATCAAATGTCACGAAACACCTGTATCCAGGAAGGGAGAATGATAGTAAACGCACGTGAACGCACAAGAGGGGAATGCGCAAAAGGTTAGTTTTTCATGTTTAAATTATGATGATGCATGTTTTATACAAATAAGCAATAGGTCTATCTCTGTTTCACTTGGCAGGTTTAGAATGTAAGTAAGTCATGATTAATCCCATTTATCAAAAGTTATAGATAACCAGATTTTGCACGCTTCTCACCAAGTCTCTGGACTTCATACTCTCAACTTATTTAGTTGAATATGAAGTCTCCATCACCTAAAAGCTTCGTCGAGGCAGCTCAACCAAGGTTGTTTAATTTTTCTTTTTTTTGGAATACTCATGTATATTATCGCAATTTTTGTGCATGTACATTACCAAGAAGGCAAGAAGCTTCACCTTCTCTGTAGCAGTCCAAGTTCTCTTCTTCTTATTCTTTTTGGTCGTTTTATCGACAATCTCATAAGAGACTTAACAGGCGGTTTCTGGTTTTTTTTGTGTGTTTTCTGCAAGGATTGGCGCTCAAACACATAATGCGCTGTAGAAGTTGCAAATCTCATGATGGAGAACTTGGTGATGAACATGTTCGACCTTTCTATAGAATAAATGTCATCTGGATTTTCTTCATGAATCCAAAGTTAAGTAGTGCGAATTTTTTTTTTGTCTGTGAGTAGTGCGAATTTATTGGTTAAAAAAATGCTACATAATTATTAATTTAGACCTCAGGGTTGGGATTTTTCCTTTCCCATCATGAGACTTGCAGCACATATGGGCGAATCTAAATTAATAATTATGTAGCATTTTTCAGCCAATAAATTTGCACTACTCACAGACAAAAAAAAAATTCGCACTACTTAACTATGGATTCATGAAGAAAATCCAGATGACATTTATTCTACAGAAAGGTCGAACATGTTCATCACCAAGTTCTCCATCATGAGATTTGAAACTTCTACGGCTTATTATGTGTTTGAGCTCCAATCCCTGTAGAAAACACACAAAAAAAAAATCTGAAACCGCCTGTTAAGTCTCTTATGAGATTGTCGATAAAACGACTGAAAAGAATAAGAAGAAGAGAACTTGGACTGCCACAGAGAAGGTGAAGCTTCTTGCCTTCTTGGTAATGTACATGCACAAAAATTGCTATAATATACATGAGTATTCCAAAAAAATAGAAAAATTAAACAACCTTAGTTTGAGCTGCCTCAAAGAAGCTTTCAGGTGATGGAGACTTCATGTTCAACTAAATAAGTTGAGAGTATGAAGTCCAGAGACTTGGTGAGAAGGGTGCAAAATCTGGTTATCTATAACTTTTGATAAATGGGGTTAATCATGACTTACTTACATTCTAAACTTGCCAAGTGGTACAGAGATAGACCTTTTGCTTATTTGTATAAAACATGCATCATCATAATTTAAACATGAAAAACTAACCTTTCGCACATCCCCTCCTGCGCGTTCACGTGTGTTCGCTATCATTCTCCCTTCCTGGATACAGGTGTTTCGTGACATTTGATAATCCCCCCAATCATTCAATTTCCAATTTCAAGATATGTTTTTCATAAAAATGCTTTTCCATTTGAATTATTCGGCGGCGAAGTTCCTCCTTTTGCCTCTGAAGCATCATGAGTGTCAAAAAATAATAATATGAAAATATATGTATTTTGAACAAATATAAAGCGAATATCTTGTGTTCTTCAGCCAATTTCAGGATTCTTTCAATATGTTGTAACTTTAAAGAAGCTAATTGGAGTGCACGATTCTCTGGGGCGTTTTGGTGATCTCTTTCCATTGTTTTGGTATCCAAAAAATCAAAACTGCTAAACCAGACTCAACTTGATCAATATGTATATTATGACAACTAAAAACAACAAATAGAACTGAAAACACCAAACGGAGAAAACTTGAAAGAGAAAAGGGAGAAAACAAAAAGACCAACCTTGCTGTCCTCTAATGGAGAGAAAGAAGTGGGGTTTTCTTTTGTCTGCGATTGTCCGAGGCAGAAGCCCTCCTATTTTTGATTGAATTGAATAAGGGCAACACCATCCTTTTTTTGGTCGTTGAAGGCCCTCCGCATCTCTCTCGTTGAGTCCAGATACACACGCAGAGAGCGAGAAGAAAAAACAGCCACGTGGCGAAAGCTGTTATTTGCAACAGGGACCAAATCCTCCCTCGCTTCCTTCTTCGTTGAGTGAACCCTCTCGTCTCCATCCTCTGTCCCCCCGTGAGTGGCGGGCGGACGGGGGAGGTTGGAGAGTTTTTTGGCAATGGAGGCGTTCAGCGCCCAGAATTCGGAGAAAATATCGGGTTCTACTGTGGAAAAATCCCAGCCCTGAGGTCACGACACGTGTCCAAGGAGAAAATATTGGGTGGGACTGTCTCGAAGAGATGTCCTGGTCATCATGGCTGCTGCTGGTGGCAAAAGCCTCTGCTACCAGTTTCCTGCCATTCTTCAGGAAGGAGTTGCCCTCGTTGTCAGTCCTCTGCTTTCTTTGATTCAGGATCAGGTGTTTTCCTATTTTCTGTTCCCTTGCGAATATGTTATACTTTTTCAAGTTTATTAGTGACATAAACTTATACAAAATAATCATTGCTTAGGTGATGGGTCTGGCTGCATTGGGCATTCCGGCACATATGTTGACATCAGCGAATGGCAAGGACAATGAAAAGTTTATACACAAGGCGCTTGAAAAGGGTGAAGGAGAGCTGAAGATACTATATGTTACTCCAGAAAAGATATCCAAGGGCAAGAGGTTCATGTCAAAGCTGGAGAAATGCCACCGTGCGGGGCATCTTTCTTTGATAGCAATTGATGTAAATATCTGAATATTCTTTCTGGTTTTGATCTTCAGTGATCTCTGAGCTTTTGTGTTGGTAAATTTTGGTTTGAGCAGCCTATGTTTCTGTTTGTGTAGCGAGGTCATATAAATTTCCACTTCAGACTTGAAAGTTACGCTACTTCATAACGATAGATAGACAAGATTATCGTAATTTCTTAAACCAAGGATGGCGAACCGGTTAGACTGCTTCAAGTGATAACAAGCTTAAGATATGTAGTTATACTAATTTTGTTGATCTGAGTTAGGCTGCCAGTTATGCTGCCTTAAGTTGAAACTCCACCTAAGGCTTAGCATTTAAAATTGGTCTTGACTAACCTGGAAGAATCAGCTTGCTAGTTCTGGTGTTACCTTGTTCACGGAGCAGCACCTAGGATTCAATCAAGGACTCCATTATGAAGGTAAAATTATCAATGATGTTTGATCCAGTTTACTTGTGACTTACGTTAAAAGCTGGAAACATGAAGTACAATTATCTTATTTTGGATACAATGAGCTTTCCAAAGGTGTGTGATTAGTCGCAGAAGTTACTGGATAGCACTGTCCAACTTTGATTCTGTTTTCTTCTGCTGCGCCATCTCTGTTGATCGTCTTTAAAGTAGATTTAGTCTTGAGAACTGCTTGCGCAGGATAGTTGGTAAAGTAGATAAACTTAGAAAGATAGTAATTTTAGCGCACTCACAGTTGGTCAACATCTTAGACTTGTCACGGCAAGAAAAACAACATTATAGATTTGTCAAGATGTCACTTTGCTCATCTACGAAGGGCGACAAAAGAGGAGGAAGTAGAAGGAAATGTCATTGTGTCTTCTTCTCATTGGTAACATTAATGGTGCACATCGACACTGCCTTTTAGGCACTTGGCTTTCATGATCATAACCTATGGACCATTAGGTTAAACATGCCTTTGCAGACTTTAATAAATGCCACTTCAAATAATTGAATCTTGATGTCAATGCCCTTCTTGGTAAGGTCGAATATGGTCATATAGTTGGTTGTACTAAGTCCTTGCTTGTCGGTAAACTGCAGGAGGCACACAGCTGTAGTCAGTGGGGTCACGACTTTCAGCCCGACCCCAAAAGCCTTCTTGAAGACTCAGTTTCCCAACGTTCCTTTGTTGCTTTGACTGTATGTCTTCTCATATCTTCTTTCTATTGATTTTTGGATGACATGGCTACTTATGTAGTTAAATGTACTAATTTTTAAAAATTTGCGATCTCATGAACGTTAATTTGTACAGGCAACTGCTACTCGGAAAGTACAAAATGATCTGATGGAAATGCTGCAGATCCCCAAGTGTGTTAAGTTTGTCAGCACTGTTAACAGGCCAAATCTCTTTTATATGGTATGTCATTGATTGATTTATTGAATCTTTAATCTATATGCTGAATACCGAAGAGCCAATATTTATTATGGATGCACTGCAGGTACGAGAGAAGTCATCTGTTGCTAAACTGGTTATTGACGAAATTGCCGAATTTATACGGGAATCTTATCCCAATAATGAATCCGGGATAGTTTATTGCTTCTCTAGGAAGGAATGCGAACAGGTTAAGTCCATCCTTCAACTCCTTTTTTTTCTCATTTTCGGGAGGCGTAGTGTTTTTCACTAGATAACATTCTTCCAATTCACGTGCAAGTGGGGCTGCAAACTGAGATGAATTTTAATATCTAATGCTGGTGTTTTAGATCATCGAACTCATAACGTCCTTTCATCAATTCTTTTTCTTTCGCCATTATGTGCTCTGTTTATGTTTTTCTATATTTGTCAAGTTATTGGTGGTTCAGTGTTATAAATTCACTAACTAATTTGCATGACTAATTCACTAAAGACGTTACTCTATTACTTGTTAGATTATATCTCCTTGTAACTGTTGATTAGAAAAGGAAGGTCAAGAATTTATGTGGGGCATTTCTTAATCCCCTCAGGTGTAGGCTCACATTTTTGGTTCACATTTTTGATGACATGGACAATAATGTCGCAGAATCGACAGAATGGATCAAATATATCTAATGTAGTATAATATGGTGCACCCAACCGAACAAAGTCCGGGAAATTTCCTAAAGTCATTTGGATTGCCGGCTTCATAGTAATTAATAGGTCTTCGTATTGATTAAGTGAAAAGGGCAATGTCATTTTCTATTGAGGTTGCCACATACCATTCGTTCTTAGAATCACATTTTTTTTGTTCTTACAACAACAGTTGGTGAAGTCACTGAATTACTTTTCTATGCTTACATATCTGTACTTTCTTCGTAGCTAGTATTAAATACTCACTTCTGACATGTATGGTGTAGAACAGGTTGGAAAGGAGTTACGCGATAGAGGAATTTCACCAGATTATTATCATGCAGATATGGATGTAAATGCTTGCGAGAAAGTTCATTTGAGGTAAACACGGCTTTTGCATGCTCACTTTGGATGTCAATAAGTTCCACGACTCTCTCTCTCTCTCTCTCTCTCTGGCTGTTCACTTGCAAGATTCTGGTGCAATTCTACCTAAATCTGACTAAAACAGAGGCCAACAGCATCATCGCCAGCAGAATTACTAATGAAGATGGCTGCCTTATGTTTTCGTGATAAATCAGTCTTGTTCTGTCCAACTATGCTATTTCATTATCTCAATCAAACTGAGGGTCTCCAAGTTTTATATGAGCATTATCTGCTGCTAGAGGAACATTACCCTGAAGGAGAGCAATCTTTTGACTGTAGCTGAACTAGTGTGAATTTCTTGACAATGGGTTCGACCTCCAAAGTTGTGGTATGCATATTTAATCAGACTACAGAAAGAAGATTTCAAAATGCTCAAACATAGTTAAGAAAGAAATGGTGGGAGCACACAGGGACGCACAGGCACACAGCTCTCAACATTGCTTCAATCCCCCTTCCCCTGCCATGGATATAGATAATTAGCTAATGGTCCATTGACCCACTCCGGAAATTTTTTTCTTGCATAAATGTGCTCGACCCTTTAACGTTTGTCCATTACAGGCGGAGCAATGGCAAGCTGCAAGTAATTGTAGGGACCGTATGTATATGCAAATAAATTATATCCTTTTATCTTATTCACTTTACCATATTAACATAATCAAGCTTAACCCATTTTGCTATTTTTCAGATTTACAAAGATAATAATTTTATATTTATATTTAAAAAGACAAAAAGGAAAAAAAATGTTTCAGAATTGATGATTTTCTAAAAAATAAATAAAAAATTAAAAGGAAACAGAATATGAAATCCCGCATTGGCCAAAGTAGATAAACACAAGTGCAAACATAAAATATATATATATATATATATATATATATATATATATATATATATATATATATATATATATATATATATACTGCGGCAGTTTTTTGGGGGACACCTTTATCATGGAAAATAGCTCCTTTTATGATTGATGTGCTGGAATTAAGTCAATTTTCGTTTTTAATTTGCGCCATCATTTCAACATTTGATATTTTATTATCGTATTTTCATTTAGATAGAGTTTGAACAGAAAGTTAGCGAACGAAGCAGACTACAAGTATGGGTGTGAAAAGAGTTTGAGAAAAAAATAAAGGGAAAAAACCACTAAAAACCCCAAACTTTTTTATTTGTGACACATTTACCCCAAACTTTTTTTTGTGACACCAAAAACCCCAAACTTTGTTATTTGTGACACATTTACCCTAATATACATTGTCCATGGGTATTTTCGTCTTTTTAGCTTTTTCTTTTTCTTTTTACTTTTTTTTTCTTTCCGGCGAGGGTCGCCCTCGCCGGCGTCGGGCGAGCCTCGCCGTCCCTCGCCCAGGGAGGGCGAGCCTCGCCCTCGCTCGCCCGGGCGAGGGCGAGCCTCGCCCTCCTCACCTCGGGCGAGGCGAGGCTCGCCCGACGCCGGCGAGGCTCGCACTCGCTCGGGCGAGCGAGGGCGAGGCTCGCCGCGCGGGGCGAGCCTCGCCTAACGCCGGCGAGGGCGGCCTCGCCGGAAAGAAAAAAAAAGTAAAAAGAAAAAGAAAAAGCTAAAAAGACGAAAATGCCCATGGACAATGTATATTGGGGTAAATGTGTCACAAATAACAAAGTTTGGGGTTTTTGGTATCACAAAAAAAATTCGGGATAAATGTGTCACGAGGGGAAAAGTTTGGGGTTTTTGATGGTTTTTTCCCAAAAATAAAATATTTGAGAGAAATAGAGAAAGTGGAAATTTTAATTTCTTAGGATGTGAATTTAAATAATCATTGATCGAGAGAAATTTACATTCAAATTTTAGAATGCGAGTGATTCATGTGACTGTTTCGACAGACAATCGTACGGTGCCAACCGGGACTTTCGAAATGAATTCTTAACTCGCAATGAAATGAGGTAATGCTTTTATTTTTGGGCTCATCAAACGAGGTAAAAGGGTTTCTAGAAAGAAAAATTAAAGAGTGAGAGAGAAAGATTATAAAAGGCTTGGGACCTAATGGGAGTGATAGCTATTAATTGCGAAGAAGACAGGAGTACTCTGCCTAACAAAACTAGAGGTTTTGAGTACTGAGCATAGGCAGGAAGGAGGAGGAGGAGGGAACAATAAATTTGGTCCGTTCATTAAAGCATTGAAGGTGCGATTGAATGTTGAGGAAGATGATCTGCACGTCATTCCCCATCATTATTAATTACGGTGGGTACACGAGTTTCAACTTTTGGTGTTTTTGCTTGTACCGTTATTCCTCGTGTGTTTATTAATTGATCATTTAGATGATTAGTTTTAACTTATACCCAAAATTTATCTTGAAATCTATCTCACTAATCTGTTTTTGCTGGTCGCATGAGTTATTTGCCAATATGAACTTTGCAAGGATGAGAGTTATGTTTAGCCCATCGTGGGTGGGTGGGAGATGAAAGATATAATGGGTGGACCGCCCAAGATGAGCAAAACCCGGCTCGTGAGCCACAAGGGCTCACAAGGTGATTATTTGCCTATCACTATAAATAGTAAGCACCTCTTGGAAAAACATACATGATTTTCCATATGCAAAAGAACACACCCTTTCGAAAGTAACGTCTTTTCTGTTTTTTCCTTCGGAACGCAAGTGAGTATGAAAGACGATCGAAGAACTCTCAAGCGCAAAGTGACACTTAATTTGTGACAATACCGAGTATGTTCGTTATATGATATGCATGTACGATCGGTGATATAAATTGATGGTCATCGGGTACATTTTCCGCATTGATCGAATTCGTTTCGAATATGTTTCGAACGTGTCGATAGAGAAAAAATTTTCCCTACAATGAGCAATAAGTTTTGTTATATTGACAGGCTGATAGCGAGGATTGGATTTGACTGTACAAAATTTTAAAAAATTCAAGATAGGGTTGCCACACTTTTGAAACGTCGAGGTCATTAGGTTTATTTCGGACAAAATATTTAATAATATTGTCGTCCTGTCCAAAAATCACTAAACAATTAGAAAGTTTACTAGTAAATCTCGTGTGATTAATAGTTTATTCATTAGGTTAGTGATATTGATATATTCTTTTACCAAAAATAGATATTAATATACTCACTGAAAATTTTAGATCCTTCTTTTGAGTTCTCGAATTCATCCGTTTCTCTTTATATACACATGGAAGAATCCAAATACACTAGGGAAAATTAGACCAATATCGTCATCCAACATATCTCCATTTCGACTATTAATACCAATCGAGTCAAGCCTTGAGACATTTGGAATCATAAAAGCACATGCACGTAGGACAGCAACATTATCAGCACGCATCAACAAAGTGAAATTACAGCACCATACCCAACATATTTCTGGCACAAGTGATGTAGCTTGAATAATCAACTTTTGAACTTTAAGTTTGACAGATAAACCATGATCGACTTCATGAGAATTCCCCAAAAATATATTGCTGTGATCAGATCCATGGAATGTTGGTTAGAGTTGCTGGATACTGGAGTGCTGGAAAAGTCACGGCCCGTAAGCTTATGACTCATCCGAGCCATGACCATCCTAGCACATTCATTCAGCACCCCATTTGCATGACCAAGTTGATTAACAACGGCCTCTACAAAACATATCAGAATGTAAGCATAAGTTAGATAATGGCAGCTTCAAGCTATTCCTCTTCTGAATTTGTCCACCTGAAGTAGTTCCCTTTCTCGTTGGACCCAGACGACGAAGGGAGAAGGGGATCTAATCTCGTCAGACACAAATGACAAATTGGAGCCGCCGATGGGGATCCGGGAGGCGACGGCAAAGGTGGGGGTGGAGGTGCGGTTGGGAGCGAGTAGGAAAAGAGCTTTATAGTAACGGGAGCGAAGAGCGAGATGTGTCCAAGGGAGGGAGGGAGAGGGAAGAGAGAGAAAGAGTGTCGGTAACATAGAAGATGGGAAAAGTAACGGAGAGAAAAGAGAGAGGGAGTTTCAAAAATTTTGACGGATTACTCGTTGCTAACTTGACAAGACTGGCCTATGTAATATTTTCTCTCCAAAATGAAAAATCAAATTCCGTTAGCCTCTCGGGCTTAGCATTCTGAATTTGAGCGTGTTGTTATTTCAAATTCATATGATGATTGCATTATATTCAATTCATGAAATGCTTTAATGGGTGTTTCCCCCACAAAATTCGCCAAACAAGTTCTAGCCGTCTCCACGAAGGACTTTCCAATTGAAAGAAGCTCCGTAGTCAGCAAATATAGAAACGCGGTAGTCCTTGAATCATTAGCCAGACGATTACAGTCTAGAAAGTAACATGAACTAGACTCTAGGATGGTCAGACCTAAAACCCCATGGCACAAGCTCAAATCATACTCACAAGAGCTTGAATAAAATAAGTCAAATCTAGAGATTTGATTGGGTTGTGCCCTTCTTCATGCCTGTAAGGCCTCGCTGGTCTGCTCACCCTACGTGGCGCGACAAGATGAGATTCAATGGGTTTTTTGAAAAGAGGAAAGTTTTGCTTTCAAAAAAAAAAAAAAAAAACCTAAGAAGTCGAAAGTAAAGAGAAATTGAAATTTCAAAAAAGAAAAATATGTCCAACGGGTGTGCTACTACAATTCTAATCTTAAGTCGTTCTACGAGTCAATACAAATCATTTCTAGGTCAATTGGGAATCTAAAATCCTTAATGTTGGGAAGAAATCAACTAATCATCTAAGGGACCTACTAATCTGCGAAAATTAAATATCTAGATCCAGAGGTCAATGACACAAGAGGGGAGGATTAGCAGCCCCCCACGTCACCTTTTCGGTACCATATTCCTTGGTTAAGTTTTATCATGCAATATCATAGGATTTCCCAACTTACATGTACATATAGTTTTCTGTTTTGGTTTTGGAAACATGAAAATTCTGATTCCTTGGTTAAGTTTTATCATGCAATATCATAGGAATTCCCAATTTACATGTACATATAGTTTTCTATTTTGGTTTTGGAAACATGAAAATTCCGATGCTTGCCCTCAAGTGAAATCACCGCATCATGGGGCAAATTATGACTTGACTCTGGCATGCTGTATGTGATCGGTGTCATTTAAAAGGTA